CCACCTACCTCCGGCAGCAGCCATCTGTTATACCCCGTGCGGCAACAAGGCTCGTGCACACGCGTGGCGGACAACGAGAGCGAAATAATTGCTTTCCACCGAATCTTTTTTTTTTTTGTAATCACATATCTTCTCTATTGTAGTCGGTCTTTTACACCTCACCCCGCGCCACAACAAGGCGACGATGTTATACGTCAGGTTCACGCGTGACAGACAGACAACGAAGATTTTAATTGTTCTCCACCGCAGTACGGACAGATACAGAGGTTCTGGGTAGAGAGATCGGAACAGTTCTTAATATGAAGCCACCAACTACCGTAGTTTATTTATTTTTTAATCGGTTACTTATATTCTGGACTGGATGACGTCAGCCTTTTTAGACCTTTCGGTGTGCAGTAGAGGTCACTGTTTAGTGCCAGTATGCCCAGAAGATTCATGAGGATAAGCAGAGGTTGATGAGGATAAGCCGATATTGATTAGGATAAGCCGAGATGAACGGGAATGAGTCGAAATTGATGAGGATAAGCCGAGATTGATGAGGACAAGCCGAGGGTGATGAGGATAAGCCGAGATTGATTAGGACAAGCCGAGAAAATGGGAATGACTCGAAATTGATGAGGATATGCCGAGATTGATGAGGATACGCCGAGATTGATGAGGATAAGCCGAGATTGATTGGGACAAGCCGAGGGTGATGAGAATAAGCCGAGAATGATTAGGATAAGCCGAGAAAATGGGAATGACTCGAAATTGATGAGGATATGCCGAGATTGATTAGCATTAGCCGAGATTGACGAGGATAAGCCGAGATTGACGAGGATAACCCGAGATTGATGAGGATAAGCCGAGATTGATAAGGACAAGCCGACGTTGATTAGGATAAGCCGAGATTGATTGGGACAAGCCGAGGGTGATGAGAATAAGCCGAGAATGATTAGGATAAGCCGAGATAAAGGGCAATGAGTCGAAATTGATGAGGATATGCCGAGATTGATTAGGATAATCCGAGGTAAATGGGAATGGCTCGAAATTGATGAGGATATGCCGAGATTGATTAGGATAAGCCGAAATTGATGAGGATATGCCGAGATTGATGAGGATAAGCCGAGGTTGATGAGGATAAGCCGAGATTGATTAGGATAAGCCGATATTGATGAGGATAAGCCGAGGTTGATGAGGATAAGCCGAGAATGATTAGGATAAGCCGATATTGATGAGGATAAGCCGAGGTTGATGAGGATAAGCCGAGATTGATTAGGATAATCCGAGGTAAATGGGAATGGCTCGAAATTGATGAGGATATGCCGAGATTGATTAGGATAAGCCGAGAGTGATGAGGATAAGCCGAGGTTGATTAGGATAAGCCGAGATTGATTAGGATAAGCCGATATTGATGAGGATATGCCGAAATTGATGAGGATAAGCCGAGATTGATGAGGATATGCCGAGATTGATTAGGATAAGCCGAGATTTATGAGGATCAGCCGAGTTGATAAGGATAAGCCGAGACTGATGAGGACAAGCCATGATTGATGAGGATAAGCCGAGGGTGATGAGGATAAGCCGAGAGTGATGAGGATAAGCCGAGATTCATTAGGAAAAGCCGAGGTTGATGAGGATAAGCCGAGGTTGATTAGGATGAACCGAGAGAAATGGGAATGAGTCGAAATTGGTGAGGACAAGCCGAGACTGTTGAGGACACGCCTAAAATGACGAGGATAAGCCGATAATTATGAGGATCAGCCGAGGTAAATGGGAATGAGTCGAAATTGATGAGGATAAGCCGAGAATGATGAGGATACGCCGAGATTGATAAGGATAAGCCGATATTGATGAGGATATGCCGAAATTGATGAGGATAAGCCGAGGTTGATTAGGATTAAGCCGAGATTGATTAGGATAAGCCGATATTGATGAGGATATGCCGAAATTGATGAGGATAAGCCGAGATTGATGAGGATAAGCCGAAATTGATGAGGATAAGCCGAGGTTGATGAGGATAAGCCGATATTGATGAGGATACGAAATTGATGAGGATATGCCGAGATTGATTAGGATAAGCCGATATTGATGAGCATATGCCGATATTGATGAGGATATGCCGAAATTGATGAGGATAGGCCGAGATTGATGAGGATACGCCGAGATTGGTTAGGATAATCCGAGGTAAATGGGAATGGCTCGAAATTGATGAGGATATGCCGAGATTGATGAGGATAGGCCGAGATTGATGAGGATATGCCGAGATTCATTAGGATAAGCCGAGGTTGATTAGGATAAGCCGATATTGATTAGGATAAGCCGATATTGATGAGGATATGCCGAAATTGATGAGGATATGCCGAGAATGATTAGGATAAGCCGAGGTTGATAAGGATAAGCCGAGAATGATTAGGATAGGCCGATATTGACGAGGATAAGCCGAGGTTGATGAGGATAAGCCGAGATTGATGAGGATAAGCCGAGGGTGATTAGGATAAGCCGAGATTGATTTGGATAAGCCGATATTGATGAGGATATGCCGAAATTGATGAGGATAGGCCGAGATTGATGAGGATATGCCGAGATTGATTAGGAT